AAACAGCCCTAGTCCTATGGCGCCTTAAAGCACGTTACTGAGACACCCGAGATCGTGTCACGAGCCTGCACGGGCCAGGCCCGCGTCTTCACGTGAGCGCCAGGGGAGACGTGGGTTCGGCCCACGGAAGCTCACGTTACTGTGTATGCTGCTTTGTGGCTATAAGGCGTCACAGGGCTGCAGTTAAAGATTATACTAACTGCATCAATGGGGTTTGCAATCATTGCAGCGTCGTGATGTTGTGCCCTGAAAAGGTTTTAGATTTTTTTCTGCTTTTTCTACAAATAAATATCAGAGATGATACCTTAGTGTGTCTGTTCGTCTTCCAGTTAGTCTGTAACTGGAAAAACTTTAAAACAAAACCCCGAATAGTCTAGTAGCACCTTATAGACTAACAAAACACGTGTATGGGCATAACCAACGTCTTCATGTAGGGTCGTGAGTTTCTGTAACATTTAGTCAAAGAGAATGGGAAGGTTGAGTCTTTAATACTCTTATCCCAGTATTAAATTAATAGATGCCATTCAACATGGCTTTGTGGAAAATAGGTATTGGCAAACGCTTTTTATGAGATCATAAATTTGGTTAAAGGTAGCTGTTTATATTTTCTGTAATATTTAAGTTGGTATTGTATGCTGTGTTGCTGTAGCTATGTTGGTCCCAGGTTATCAAACATATGAGATGGGTTAGGTGATATTTTTTTATGGGCCCAACCCCTCATTTTTGGCCAGAGGTAAGTTTTTGAACTGAGACAGCTCTTCAGGTCTGAATGGTCTGTTTAGTCTTCCAACACTGGCCAATGCCCGGTGCTTCATTAGGAATGAACAGAGCAATCCTCAAATGAGCCATCTTGTATTGTCCAGTCTCACCTGGCCACTGATGGGCCTGTCCAGACCTAGGTTTTTTTATCCATCTCTCCTCATGGAAGCTGTTCCATACCCCTACTCATTTTTGTTGCCTTTTTCTGAACATTTCTAATTCCAGTATATATTTTTTCGAGGTGAGGCAACCAGATCTGCATGCTCAGCAGTCAAGATTTGGGGGTACCATGAATTTGTATATAGGCAATATATATTTTCTGTCTTATCTAGCCTTAATGGTTCCTAACATTCTGTTACCTTTTTAGACTGCCGCTTTTTAGACTGCATATTGAGCGGATGTTTTCAGAGAACTGTCCGCAATTCCTCCAAGATCACTTTCTTGAGTGGTAACAGCTAATTTAGACCCCATCATTTTGTATGTATAGCTGGGATGTTTTCCATTGTGCATTTCTTTGCATTTATCACTCCTGAATATCATCTCTCATTTTTTATTGCCCAGTCATCCATTTTGGTGAGATATTTTTGAAGTCTGCTTTGGACTTAACCATCCAGTTTAGTGGTTAATTTAGTATTGTCTGCAAATTTTGCCAGCTTGCCCCTTTCCCCACATTTATGAATGTTGAATAGCACTGGTCCCGTTCCCTGGAGACACTGCTATTTTTACCTCTCTAGTTTGAAAGGTGACCATTTATTCCTACCCTTTGCTTTCTGATTTTTAACAAATTAAACTAGTCAGCCAACTGTCAGAAAATCTAAATACACTGGATCCACTTGGATCATCCTTGTTTACATTTCAATGGGAATCATCTAGTGGGGTCCCAATCGAATAATTTCCATCAGTTTTCTGGCTGAAAATACAAAATCATTGCTGATGAACTTTGCAGATAAAACTCAAGTTTGCGGAGTGGTGATAAGGATAGGACATACGAAGAGGGATTTGAATCTTTTAGGAAGTTGGATATAATCAAAATGCCATATTCATTTAGGAAAACATATATAGTTCATATTTGTAGGATGGGGGACTGTCTCCTGGAAGATATTTATGTGAAAGGAGTCATGGTGGATAACCAACTCAACATGAGTGTTTAATACAATCTTGTCGATATATGAACAGGAGAAGATAGAATTGGAATGGGGAGGTAACTACTTCTGTATAAGATGAGACTGTAATTTGTATACGGTGTCCAGTTGTGATATCTTCACTTCAAAAAAGATGCTGGAAAATCTGAGGAGGCTTCAGGGAATTCAAGATGCTTAAGAGCGGCTGAAACATTTGCCTTTCACTAACAAATGTAATTCAATCGATTTTAGCTTGTAGAAGAGCAAATTTCAAGACACCGCGTGGTCAGTCTAAAAGCACTTACATGGGTATTAGATGCAAAGGGCTTCTTAACCTAAGAAAAGCATAACAAGACCCAGTGGCTGGAAGCTGAAAAATAGACCAATTCAAACTGTAAATAAGGCACACGTTTCTTAACAGTGAGGGTAATTGTCATTGAAGACCTTCCCAAAGGATGAAGTGGATTCTTCATCACTTGAAATCAAGATTGGATGCCTTTCAAAGGGAAGCTCTACTTCAGCTGCCAATTACTGGTCTTGATGTAGGAAACTCATGGACAGATTATCTAGCCTTTGCTGTTCAGGAAGTGATACGTTATAACAACTTCTGGTCTTGGAATCTGTGTAACTTGGACATTTGCAAATATCCAGATGAGGTTGTTTGTATCCTTCTCTGTTGCTTAGTCTGTTGCTTTTGATAACTGTGGTGTCTGAAATCTGCTTAAGTTGGGTGTAAGACCTCAGTTTCTAATAATAAGCATATTTGGTTGCAGAGAGAATCTTTCTGGCATTCTTTGTTATAAAGAAGCAAGGGAGTTCTTTACTTGAAACTTCATTTTCCACTCAGCCATGATTTAGCTGGGGTTTCTGTCATATTCTGTACTGTCAATGTGCAGGTTACATTCCCACTGCAAACTCCTTCCTGAATCTTCTCCGTATGATTCTCAGTATTATTTTAACAAGGTCCTTCTTGGTATGTAGAGTTGGTTATTTGGCTGGTCTAAAAAAATTGGTCAAAACACTAAATAGAACAGTAGTAAGACATTACGTGCTGCAGTTGGCTTAGCATTTAGATACATATGTCTAATTACAAAAATAGGTTAGTTATTTTTAATTCATCGACTGAAAAAGTGAGGTAATTAAAAATGAAATAATTTTAGCAGTTAGCTTCATATTTAAATGTGAACAAAACTGAATAATTACAAAAGAACAATGAAATGAAACAGAAAACAGGCATATTGCAATTATAAAATAATTTTTAAAATGCACTTACCCTGGGTAGGCAGCTTAATAGCTTCATCTTTTTTATTGTTTGGTTATTGTGAACCGTTCTCCCCTTTTGGTTAATTTCTGCATTTGACTAGTCAGGTTAGCCTGTATTTTCTTTAGGGAAGTGAAACTATCTTTTGGCTTGCTTAATGTGCTTTGTACACATTAAATATGTAGTTGATGGCCTTGTATTTAAATAAAGATCTGTATTCACATACACACAATGTTTGTCCAGCCAGTCAAGTTACTCTGCTTTCTGTTAAATCTTTTTTCCCCAATATGTGACATAAGCATTTAATAAAGTGATTGATCAAAGTCGTTTATATAGGCTTGCTAACAGATAACAAAATGTGATACAGTCAAAAAGGCCTCTGACGATCTTGATTGGAATATTTAACTGTATTTGACGGTGGTCAGTTAAGCAGCTGGTCAAGCCTATTAGTGTGCATTATTAAAAATCATTGTGGTGTCTTCACAACGTTGGCCTTGTCACCAAAAGTGCAAGTAGCTTGTGAGCTATTACAGGTTGGCTCTTTTTCTGTCTTGATAGATTTTATTTTCCTTTCAGGTGTCCTGAAAAATGGCTGACGATATTGATATTGAAGCAATGCTTGAGGCGCCTTACAAGAAGGTGAGAAAAATGTGCCAGTGAGGTCTTGTACTTACCTTAATTTAGCTTTATTCATGAAACTACTGCTGAACTGTAAACTAACTTCCCTGGAGCCCTCATGATTATCTTATTGGAGATGCATTACATGTAACTTGCAAATAAATATAAACTGTTAATGTAATTATTTTGTGCAGTAGTTTCACTTCAGCGTGATGAATAAATGCCCATCTATCTCTCTTTGTAGACTTGCCTAACGATATCTCACCTCTACTCCCATGAATTCACCTTTGATTCCAGTGTGAACTGTCAATCATAAGGTAGTAATTGAGTGACGTATCGCTGTACCGTGGTCCCCTAGGTAAAAAAAAAAAAAAAAAAAAAAAAAAAAAATTACTCGCCTAAAATTGCCAGCTCCAGTTTGGTATAGCAACAAGGTGAATGCAGTGTTTGGGAAAATAGCAGGGTTCCAAGAATAACCTTTTCACCAGTCCATGGCACGTAAATCTTTAAATAGTCTGCTCAGAGCAAGAGGCATATGACTATTATTTTTAACATAAAAGACTGGTGATGGTTAATCTTTTAACAGGGCAGAAGGAAACGAATTGCTGAGTGAAAGAACTTTCCAAAATTCTTGGATCCCTGAATAGATACATTCTTTGCAAGTAAAAGACAGTATCACAGTCTGCGGTGTCATTCTAAAAGTAGCCGTTGTACTCTTGTGTTTTAGTTGTTCAATTAAGAATTAGCAATTCTGACACAGTTCTGTTAAACTTCTGAACGACTAGCATAGTGATGTACTCAGTCTCTTGTCTTACCAGGCAGCAAATGTATACTGTCTTTTTTGTTTTGGTTTTTGTTTTTTCACCAACTGGTGGTGAAAGAGTTAACATTATGCATGCATTAGCACTTACTTCACAAGAAATGTGTATAAACTTGAAATAATTTAGCAGTTGTACTACTCATGATGTAACTGGAGTAGTTAAACTATAGAATAGTATAAAAACTACTGTTAGTTTATTTAGGAGTGTTTAGTAAAACCATGTGGTATCAGTTTTGGATGAGTATTTGTAAGCTTTAAACGCTGTTTATTTAGTATTATGTGATACTTAGCAGATATGTAAAATCTTGTGATAGTCATAATTTGTAATACTAAGAGTCTTATGTCCTAGTTTAACATGGATATTTTCCATGTAAACAGGTATGGAAATAGGGAATGTTTAGGCTGGACTGGTGGATTTTTGATGACTTTCTTGGGAGCCGACATTACTAAAGCAGTGTGAATCCCTGTTTGCTTCAGGGCGAGATGTGTGACAGAGGTGGCATCAAGCTCTTACAACCCTCCAACGAAAATGAGCGAAGATCTCAGGAATGGCATCGGTCACAAGAAATCGATAGTGGCTGGCTGCTAGCATGGCCACTTGGGGCTTAGGCAGAGATATAGCCTTGGTACTGATCAGAGATCATAGCACATGAAAAATGCTTAAACCTGAAACTTCCTCTTACATTTTATAGACATAACATTTAACCACTTGAGTGCTGAAATCTACAGGATAATTTACTATCTAAATCATGTAAGGAAGTATCTACAATTTAATATATATTTAAAACTGTAATTCTTGTGTTTTATAATTGTATGACTTAAATGTAAACAGCAACGTGGTTAAACATGCCAACTTAAATTTTTATAGCTTTCCATATTAAACTGTAAACACGTAATTTAGTATTAAATTTTTTGTTTTGTATTTTCTTATTCCCATTCCCATTCCCCTTTGACCACTTGAAATGTTACCACTTCGTCCTCACGATGTTCTTCTATCAACCCTGCTTAGGATGAGAACAAATTGAGCAGTGCCAATGGCCATGAAGAGCGCAGCAAGAAGTAAGTGTTTATTTGTATATTTTCACTTCTAGGGAACACTGTCAAGCATTCTTCATTTTTAACTTTTAATGTATGTAGTCCATACATACTGTCCAAGAAAATGGAAATCCTTCCGCCTTCCTTTTGCTGTTTATGGCATTTCAAACACATGACTTCAGACATATGATGTATCTCTTGGTTACACAATTGGTATCTGTGATATAATTTAGGGATGTAATAGTGTAGTCAGTTAACTGATAAGCAGAAGCTTATAGGTTAATGCTATATAGTACATGCACCCCCTTCTCCTCAGTACATTTTTTTTTAACAAGCTGGGCAGCACCCGGCTCAGTTCTGACTCTCAACTGATTGGGGAGCTCAGACCTCCCCCAGACTGGCTGCTGTCACCCTGTTCTGCTGCCTCTTAATCAGAGGCAGCAGTGGGGGGTGGCAGGCAGCCAATCCACGAGGAGAGCTGGCTTTTAAACTCTCCCCTCATGGACCAGCTCCTGCCAGGCACCATGCACTGCTGTGGGCCCTGCCTCCAGGGGCTATACAATAGTTGACTAACGGATAAGAATTCATGAGGTTACTTGACTATTCAATTAACTGATATTTAACATCTCTAGTGTAAATTTTCAATGAATAGTGTTCTTATTAAAAAATGCAAATGACAATTCCTAAACTAGAACAATTTTGATGGATTATAGATAATGACATTGTACCCACAAGATTTTACTATCACTTGCACATATTTTTGAATTGTTAACTTTTGAAATGTAATTCTGTTTTGTGCACTAATGATGAGAGTTTGAAGGACACTGAAATGCAATGGCCTCAAGTTTAAACTGAGAAATGTGGTCACCTTTCAGTGCTTTATTCCTTGAATTAGTATTGTGTGTAAAAAGCTGTTTGAATAAATCTCTTGCTAATCCAAAACTACTAACAAACTTGTACAAATCTAGAGAGAATTAATTGTATTTATCTCCTTCAGGAAAGACTTATCTGTGTGTTCTGTTTTATAAACTTCCACCTAGTCACTATCCTGGAACAGAAAAACATTTAAAATTCAGTTACTTGCATGACATGCACATTTTGGTTAAAATACTTCCCACTTTACAATTACTGTGATACTAATATTTTTTGGGGGGGGAGGGTGAGGATGAGGAGTAGTTTCTTGAAGTGAAAGGAGGAAAAGGAATTTAGGTGGGGAGTGGACTTATAGTAAAAAGCAGTGTTCATGGTATAAATGCTCGGAAAAACAATCTTTCTTGTTTTTCTGAATCCTGTGCTGTGTGGGTACTGAGGATGAAGGTTCAGGGGAAAAGGACTGGGGTGGGAGAAGTCTAGTAAATGTTCTCACATAGATAACAATAGGCATCACAGAAATTTGGAAGGATAGAACTGGTCGTGCTGATGGCGAAGTGATACTGTATGAGAGCAAGCCTAGAATCAAATGATTTAACAATGTTCAAAGACTCCTATCATGCACAGGAATCTCTCTGAATAGTAATTCCATGCTCTAATAATATGGATATGTCGACAACCAAACCACAGTGGTGATAATGAAATGCTCAGGGAGTATTTCTGATGTCCCCATAATGATTGGGTACATATCTCAGGATGGGATACAGAGAACATTTCTCAATGTCTTAAATGACTGCTTCTTGGGGCAGCTAGTCCTGGAACTCACGAGAAGAGACAATTCTTGATTTAATCTTAAGGGAAGCATAGAATCTGGTCCAAGAGGTGAATATAGCTGGATCACTTGGAAAACTCCACAGCAGTCCAGTGTAATTGCAGAAAGGGGAACAATGCAGAAATGAGCAAGTTAAAAAGAAAACACAAGGTATGGTGCCAAGAGTGAAATTGCTGCAGATGCCATTATTGAGGCGCAAGTTAAATGTATATCCCAAATAAAAAAACAAAATAGAGAATTAAATGTGTGCCACTTGGGCTAACTAACAAGGTAAATAAAAGAAGCAGACGCAAAAAGACATGCTTTAAAAAGTGGATGTTAAATCAGTGAGGAAAATAGCAGGGAGCATAAACTCTGGTAAATAAAGTGTAAAAATATTATTAGGGTGGCCACAAAATAAATTGTACAACAGCTAGCCAAAAGCTCAAAAACAAATAGCTTAAAAAAAAAGTACATTAGAAGCAGGAAGCCTGCTAAATTAGGGGAGCCACTTGGCTTATCAAGATGCTGGAAGATTGCTGATATGACAGTAGGGATGTGATAGTTTATAGGTTAATGCTACAGACCAGTGTTTCTCAACCTTTTTTAAATAAGGTACCCCTTTTAAAAAAAAGCACATAAGTACCCCCCCCTTAAAAAACAAACAAACAAAAAAAAAACGTTTAGTATCTACAGTTTTTTCTCAAATTTTTCTACCATTGCAACACATTGTTTAAACAATTGAATCGTAGCTGGGCGGGTGATGAAATTTTTGGGTGTAAAAAGTACAAAAATAATAAAGCGCTGTAAAACTTAAAACAAAAATTCAGTTTTCTCCAAATTTCAGTTGTTGGCATACACCCCAGAATTCTCTTGACTACCCGTGAGGGCACTTGTACCACTGGTTGAGAAACACTGCTATAGACTACAAAAAAGCAGTCATGTAGCACTTTAAAGACTAACAAGATGGTTTATTAGGTGATGAGCTTTTGGGGGGCAGCCCCCCCCCTTGGGACTATAGAATAGTCAAGTAACCAATAAGAATTCATGAGGTCAATCCGCTAGTCAATTAACCAATATTTAACATGCCAAGAAGACACTAAGGCCATTGCTGAGGAACTAGAGATGTGAGTGTGTAGATGAGTACATGATTAAACAGTGAGCCTGGGTGCATTGATTTTACCCTATCGCTTACATGCTGAAGCATCAGGGGTAGGGAGCAGGAGCTGGTGCATGAGGCAAGCCTGATGCTTGCTCGCCCCCTGCAGGTGGCAGTGGGGGTCAACCCAGCTTGCACTCTCCTCAAGCCCTGGATCCTGCAGAGCAGACATCCCCCACTGCCCCACCGTTCAGCTTGCTCAGGAAGGATAGGCAGATGAGAGGAGGATGTGTTGCCTTATATATTAAACATGAACACACATGGACTGAGGTGCAGATGGACACAAGTTTTGTTGAGAGTCTCTGGATAGGTTAAAAGGTTTTTAAAAAAAGTGGTGTCATCTGAGGGGTTAACTATGGACAAGGCAGAAGAGGTGGATGAGGCTTTTTTCCAACAACTAACGACATCATCGAAAGCATGGGTTTTGGGAGTGTTGGTACTTAAACGATCTAGACATACGTTGGAAAACTAACACAGCAGGGCACAGATTATCCAACGAGTTCTTAGATTGCACTGGAGACTGTTTTAGTTCAGAAGTTTGAGAGTTACCACAAGTGAAGCTGTTCTAGAGTCTGTTTTAACACACAGGGAGGAACTGGTTGAAAATTTCCAAGTGGAAGGCAGCTTTGATGAAAGTAATCATGACATCATAGAGTTCATGATTCTAAGGAATGATAGAAGGGAGAGTAGCAAAATAGGACCAGTAGATTTCAGGTAGTCAGATTTTAGTAAGCTCAGAGAGCTGATAGTGTTGCTTCCCATGGGACCTTACCTAAGAGGAAAAAGAATTGAAGAGAGTTTTTAAAGGGAGATTAAGGGCCCAAAGGCAAACTGTTTCACTGTGTAGGAAAGATAGAAAGTATGGCAGGAGACCACTTTGGCTTAATCAGATCTTAGACCATGTAAAAATCAAAAAGGAGTCGTATAAAAAAATGGAAATTAGGTCAATTTACAAAGGAAGCATATAAACAACCACTGGCATGCAGGGGCAAGATTAGAAAGGCCAAGGCACAAAACCATCTGTATCTTGCTAGAGACATAAAGGATAACAAGACGACACTCTATACATATATTAGAAGCAAGAAGAAAACCAAGGACAGGGTGGGCCCATTGTTCAGTGAAGAAGGAAAAACAGTAACAGGAAACTTGGAAATGGCAGAGGTGCTTAATGACTTTTGTTTCAGTTTTCACCAAGAAGAGTGTGATGCATGCCTAGCATAGTGAATGCTAGTGGAAATGGGGTAGGTTTAGAAGTAAAAATAGGAAAAGAACAAATTAAAAATTTGTCAGATGTCTTAAAGTCACCAGGACCTGCAGAAAGGCATCCTAACATACTCAAGGAGCTGAGAGAGGAGGTATGAGCCTTTGGCTGTCATCTTTGAAAAGTCATGGAAGTTGAGAGAGTGATTCCAGAAGCCTGGAAAAGGGCAAATATAGTGCCCATCTATAAAAAGGGAAATAAGAACAACCCAGGAAACTACAGACCAGTCACTTAAACTTCTGTGCCAGGGAAGATAATGGAGCAAGAAATTAAGGATTTCCTCTACAAACATCTGGAAGAAAATATGGTGATAGGTAACAGTGTGGATTTGTGAAGAACAAATGATGTCAAACCAATCTGATAGCTTTCTTTGATAGGATAACAAGCCTTGTGGATGGGGTGAAAGTGGTGGACATGGTATACCTAGTCTTTAGCTAAGCATTTGATTGGGTCTCGCATGACTTTTTTTTTAATCAATAAACCTAGGGAAATACAATTTAGATGGGGCTACTATAAGGTGGGTGCATAACTGGCGGGATAACCATTCTCAGAGAGTAGTTACTAGTGGTTCACAGTCATGCTGGAAGGGTATAACAAGTGGGGTTCTGCAGGGCTCTGCCATGGAGCTGGTTCTGTTAAATAACTTCATCAACAATTTAGATGATGGCATAGAGTACGCTTAATAAGTTTGCAGATGATACCAAGCTGAGAGGGGTTGCAAATGCTTTGGAGGATAGGGTCATAATTCAAAATGATCTGGACAAACTAGAGAAATGGCCTGAGGTAAATAGAATGAAGTTTAATAAGGACAAATGCAAAGTATCCCACTTACGAGGGAACAATCAGTTTCATGCATACATAATGGGAAGTGATGGTCTAGGAAGGAGAACTGCAGTAAGGAATCTAGGGGTCATGGTGGACTA